AGGTTCTTCATGACTGGTTACTTACCCATTGGCTTTGAGTTTGCTGCGGAGATTACTTTTCCTGCTGCAGAAGGTACAACTGGTGGTCTCTTGAACGCCAGTGCACAGGTGAGCGCATAGCGGAGAGAAGTTCAGGGCACAAGCAAACTTTCTCTAGATATTTGGAATTGTTCTGACAATGGCAATGGGCTACGTAATGCATGGAATAAGCACTTTTTGGTGCAATATCATTATGAGCACCGCCCTTATTATTGGCACTATTCTTACGGGTAAATGAAGAGATACGACCTTAACAATTTCGACTTATGGTGAAAACTCTTTCAGCAATGATAAAGGAGGACCTAAAAAGGCAAAAAGCACACACAGGCCGTGCTCATCTTCCAGTAAGTTCGCTATTAAAGGTTACCACTTACATAAAATCTCTTCTTTAGACCTCTGCCACTCAACTCACCAGCTGTACCATAACCAGCGAATGACCTCATCTGGAATGTGCTTCAATTATAAATAGTTCCAATTTAACATACTCTATACTTTTGTTAAATCTCCGGTCAGAGCTTATACATCAATGTTCTCTTCTGTTGAGCTAGTCACCTGTCGCTATCAACCATTCCCTTTTAAAACCCTGTTAAAAACAGAAGCGGAAATCAGCCAAATGGATAATTTTCTGGTGAGATGGAAGTGGAAGGAGGTTGATAGTGACTATATCACACTGTTGATCGTTGAGCGTATGCGCTCGAACTCTGAAAATCCAGGGAGCTTTAAAAAGCGAGGCAGAGGCCTTCCGAGAAGTCGGGAATTTAAAGTTGTAATGTGCAAATATATTGTACTCGTTTAACTCAGCATGAGTAGGTTATAGTTTTTGTTGTATCACCCAGTGCATTGTCCGTTTGTGTCAAACACCTAGCCTTGACCAGTGCTCCACTTACGAGTCAACAATTTAGGTTACTTATGCTCTGCATGTAATGATCTGCTCTAAAGTTGTCCCGCACCTCGTGTGAATTTTCCATTAGTAAACTGCAATGTGAATAAAATATTGTCTTTTCCTACTGAATTTGCTATTCTGAGTCAACAATACGGGGACGGGATGCGTTTTCTGAGAGATAAGTGTCACTGTAATTGGCAGTTGTGAGGAAGTCAAATAACTTCTCACTGAAACGAACCTTGTCTTCAGTTAAAGGCATCAATGTTCAACAAATTCCAAATATAAGCATGATTTTCAAGCAACTTCACGAAAATTAAGTAAGGGAATGCGTGTAATTTCATAAAGAAAATATTTATATAGGGTGTCCTAAACAATGAAATCACCGTTCGACGTTAATAACTATATTTCCAGGTCTCTAAGCTTCAGTGATTTGTTTTGAATGACTAGTTTGAACTTAGATTTACAGTTGGTTTTATTCAATGGGTTTTATGACTTGGGCGATAATGCTGTTATGTACTTGTAATAACTTTGATATGTAACTTGCGGTATCGCTCATCACATTCTGGGTTAGCATAACAAATGTCTCCAGAAAAGAATATTCCACGTTTGGAAACTAATTAAATTGAAGATTTTGAAAATCATCTTTGCGCCAATGCCAATGGTGGTGCTTCACACGCCACTGCGCAACATCTAAACCTTTTTCTGAGTATCTCCAAAGACACGATTTTTTTAAACTTTCGCATTTTCCCCACTTACGCAGGGTCTGCTATGCGAGTCAACTCCTCCAGTATTATCGCTTCAAGGCGTGATATTGTCTTGCCCCGAGCTCTCTCAAGTCGGCTCTGATTCTGTCAATCCACCTCATCTTTGGTCTTACACGCAGTCTTTTTCCAGCGACTTTCAGAGACATGACACTTGTGATGTGGATCACATCTCTTCTACTCAAACGCTTATATCATCACAGTCTTTCTTCCTGCATCTTTTGGCGAGAGGAGCAACTTTCATCCTAGTCCGAAATGTGTCATTAAAGACATGATCCAACAGGATGATGCCCAATGTCCACCGCCGCATTTTTGTATTTATGACACCAAATATGTTCTTCATTTCGTGTGCTAGGCCAACATTCACTCCTACAGCACTAGGACGGTTCATAGTACAAT